CCGATGGACAATAGCTTTGGGACAAATATTTTTGGGGCATGAGGCTGAGAGCGATCAGGGGTTGGACTGGTCTGCGCATCTTTCAGTCCAGTACAGGAAGTGCAAAGTGAAAACACAACTCCTACACTGTTCATGGGTCACAGAGTTCATGCTTCTTGTTTGCAAATAGATCTAGTTAGATAACGCCTCAATTTACCACAAACAAATTATGTACACATTTAGATATTATTGAATTTGTATGATTTTGATTTGTGTGATTTCAAGTCAACATCTACATTCATCTACATTCTATATACACTCTCCTTGTTCCCTTCTTTGTTTCAACTTCATGGTCTTCACTTTCTTCCACGTTCCATCGTTTCTGACCCTCCCGGCGCTCCAAGCAAGGGCATTGTGGGTCATCCGCGAAGGGCTTGCCAAGGAACAACCTGCTGATGCTCAAAAAGCAAATGGGATCGCAAACATCTATATGAAGATGGTGAATCTTCAAGCTATTCATTACCTATAGATACTCATACTTTTCCATTGCCCGGCCTTTCAGTATTCTTGCAAAACTCTGGAAGTAAACAATGATGTTTGAGACTTAGGAAGGCACCTGTCAATAGCACCAGTGGCGGAATCATGAAAAGGTTAAAGCCTCAAGAAAAGCAGCGCTGGGCAAACATGCAGAAATCAAACCCGTGCAACCAAAGGCCAAATGATGCCACATGCCACCTGAAAGAAAAACATCACCTCCTTCAATTTCTACGTGGCCTCCACTTGCCCTCGAGTCATGCAATTCCAAGGCCCTTCATTCGCATTGGTCGGTGGCAGCGTGCAATGTCAGGCTGCCTTGTGAGTGATATATGTATCTGAGAGGGACCACTGACCTCTGATATATACATATATAGAGTTACTCCTACCCTGATTTATTTAATACGGTTATATAATCATCCTAAATTAAAATCTTCTTCACCAAGTCATCAAGAACTTCCCAGGACTCCCCGGCGGTCATGGATTTCCCGGATGCTTCGTCGCTTGTCATCCGCCGTCGCCATGGTGTCAAGGATCGGAGAGTGGACGGGAAGAGAGGGGAACGCAATGCCCACGAAGCCATGGAATCGTACATATGTTACATAGGTATGAATGGAATTGCAGGTCTTTTTGCGCGTCTCCTCCATGTTGTTGCTCTTCCTGTACGTTCCATGTTTTCATGTTTGCGAATTGTTGTAGTGAAAGTCAGTTCATGTGAGTAGGCAGGGAGTTTAAATGGGCCAAATATAGCCTGCGCCGTGAAAAAGGATCACCAAATGTTTGTCGACAGATCTCGACAGTATGCGTGTGGACTCAACATCCTCAATAAAGAAGAATTAAGATAGATCAAAGGCCTCAAAACCAACCCTGTGCCTGCATCTTTCTGCAGGTGTTGCTTTGGATATTAGCGTTTCGACTCTCCTTCGGTCTTCGTGCATGAAACACACACATGATCACCGCTACAACGCACATGGATCACTGGGATCACTCCACAGCTCACCAAATCACTCCTTCCTAGTAGCGTCCTTGCTCCTAGTAGTACGGCCAGGAGCCCCTAGTAGCGATGCACTTGTTCCTAGTAGCGATGCCCTTTGCTCCTAGTAGCGAACCTTGTTACTCCTTCCATTCTCAACTCTTTTCCACTTAAGATCGGCTCAGCTGCTTCCGGCTCTTCGTGACCTGGACGAAAGCTCAGGATCGGTCTGCGAACAAAAAAAGAAACAACCCTCCAGCAGGTGGTGAACGGGAGGGTTGAAAGGTGCACTCTCAGTTGAAAAGTCCAAGCGAGTTGGAAGATGCTTTAACCTTTGTCATCTTAGAAACCCTTGCCTGAAGCAGCATGAGATCCGCCAACAGAAGCCAAGTCCTCTGGCAATGTCGGAATTGCGGAATTGGACACATGAATGATGCGGCAGCATCACATGCATTGCTGCCAAAGAAAGTGTGCAAACCATTTTGCAAAGTGGTTCTCATCTCCACCGGACAGGAGGTTGACCTTTTCGTCTGCCCTGCAGCTGGCATCCCACAGTCCTTCTGGCCCAATGCTGATGCCTCTGTCGATGTCCTCAGAGGGTCGAGATACTACCTCTCAAGCACACCGAATGGACTGTGCAGCCAATGAGCCTAGAGTGAGAGCTGTGTCAAAAATGGAATTCATTAATGGTCCCGTGTGTTTTGAGGATGCTCCAACATGTGGTTTCTTGAGACGTCTCACGTGCAAAAAGGATCAAAAAGGGCTGAGGGAACGTTGCGGACGTTGCGTCCAAGTCCGTCTCACCAAAACGAAGCCTTGCGCCCAGAACTGGGAAAGCCACTTGCGCCCAAAGCAACTTGCGCTGAATGTCGACAGCTGGGATCTCATCAAAACAAGACTGGGACTTGACAGTAAAACAAATGAAACCGATGTGGTGTGTGGTGTGGTACCAAGATTCATCAAGAGTCAAACATTCTTTGGCATACGGTCACACGAATCCAGAGTGACTTGCCTATGGACAGAAGCCAAGCAGCTGGATAACAAACAGAAGCGTCTTCAATGGAATGTTCAACAGTAAATCCAATCTACATAGCCCTGGGGATTACATGCAAGCACCACGAGGAGGAGAAGGAGAAGGAGAAGGAGATTTGTGCAGTGGCTGGCTGCAGCTTTTCAGTGCTTTCTTTGCCAAGCTTTTGAGAATGTCAAAGCAAGCGGCCCAGCAAATGAGCTGAAACCAGCGCAGAGTCACCTGCCTGGTCTAACAAAGCCTCAATAAAGTGCCCTCAAGGATTTAATCTGGCTAAGGCCCGACTGCTGTCAGAGCTGGCCACAATGTTGTTAATGTTATATAAGTTTCCCTAAAATATCTAGGAACCAAATCATTAGTGCGAGCGCTTCTTGAAGGAAGCTGGGAGCTTCCTTGAAGAAGCGTGAGCTATCCTGAGTCCAGTAGTTAGTAGCTACCTAGCTCCTACTAGCTACCTACCTAGCTAACCTACCTTCCTCCACTTGCGGCCTACCCAACAGCAAAGGCAGTACGTACCGTACGGTGGCTGAGAGATCTGCAGATTCTGGGAGTGATTGGATCGGTTGCTTTGTCTTTGTGGTTAGACGCGCCAGCCTCGAGTTTCAAACACAACGGCGTTCTATATGCTCCACTGGGTCCCAGACCAGTTTCGGCTCTCAGGATAGCCTAAGGTAGCAGGCCCGGAAGCCCATCATGACTGGTTGGCACCTACAATGAATTCAACCCTCAGAATGCTGTTTAGATGGGGGATCCAGTACAACCCATCTCTTAGTGCATTTCTCACCCTGAAACTATTGTAAGCACTATATTACTTGTATACAGTACAATTGCTCATTTGATCGGTTTGCTTATCCCTAAAGAGCAGTGCAATACTATGCAACTTAGACATCGTCCTTAAAGCCTGGTGTGTCGATGTCCCAGCAGTGTCTTGGAGGGCACAAGCTCGTGAAACAGGCAAATCAACCAACCGTCCGTGAAACAAGAAACAACCTAAAGCCATCCAAAGCCCATAAGCTCCGGTCAGAAAAAAGTAGAAACAAGAAGCTACTAGGCCGTACTACTAGGAGCAAGAACGCTACTAGGGGCTCCTGGCCTTACTACTGGGGCTCCTGGCCTTACTACTAGGAACAGGAACGCTACTACTTTATGTTTCTTTTATATTTCTTTCTCCTCGGGGGGGCCAAAGCCCCTAATTCCGGTCAAAGAAAGGAAAGTATATTCTTTTTAGATCCTTTCAACGCCTCGGGTTCCACTTGGCCAGGCCCTCCCGCCAGACGAGGGCGCCGGATCTTTGGACGACCTGCTGGAGTCGTGTACCCAGGCACTGGTGCGAACCAGATCCAGTCTTCGACCTCCCCTGACAAAACACCAACACGCATTCTGCAATCGATAACAAACACATGAAAAAAAAAACATCCTACAAACTCCTGTTGAATACTTTCAATACTGGAACGGATGCCACAAAGAGGCCCGGACAGAAATTACTCGAAAATTTCAAAACACATCGGTGCTTTGCACTGCATGGGACCGCCACTTCCAACCCAGTGTCCCCCACCTCCGAGCTTCCGGATCCTTGACGTCGGATCTGGAAGCCTTCGGGTGGAGGGGTATACGGTATTGGTGTGACGGTGGTCATGGGTCAGGGCCGGGTGATGTCGACTCTTGATTATATTTTTACCATTGTCAACCCCCAATTCTCGAATATACCACCAAATAATTACTGGACTTGTTTATACACGACCCAAGGTATCCCCTAGATTACCAAGAAAGGTCGTAATCTATGATGGGTCTAAGTAAATGAGAAGCCTCTCCTGGAAGACAGGAAGGATAGGAGAATGCTCCAGGATCGAAACACTCTGATTCAAAAAGGTCCGAAGCTTGACACACAACATCATCACAGCGTTGTTCAAGACCGTAAGTCCATTACAGTCTCGTTTTAGGCCTGCAGCAAGCGAGGAGCCTCACTCCTCCTTGTTTTATTTTTGGGCTCACCATGTCCCCAAGTCGCAGTCCTGTCACACACCTGACTGCGAAGGATTTTTCATGAGCGTAGGAGTCTCCGAATTGGCCAGTGCTCCGCACATGGCTGCAAAGTCTACGCTGGGGTTTTGCACAAACTCAGCTGATCAAGGAGTCCGATATTTATCCTAGCAAGCTTTCGGAATCCTTTTGGTATCGGCATCCGTTTATAACAACGATGGTTTGTCACAAAGTATAGTTGCCACCAGGTGCAGAATGCCAAACCCCGGATTGAGACTCTGCCTCAATTCATGGAGTCAATCGCTTGAAGAGTCTTCCTTCTTCAAGATCGAACGTGGGGTTTCCTCAAGAATGCAGGACTTCCTCCTCAAAAGTTCTTAAACATGCCGAACTCTGTCTGCCTCCTTTCAATTTGTTGGGCCCGAATCTGCCAACAGTGTCTTAGTCTTGGAGTTGCCTGCGCTCGATTGAAAAATCGGAGCTTTCAGCAAACCACTGTTAAACTCAGCAGGGCACACGGCCCGCCATCGTCTCTTCAGCTTCATAGGTGATGAAAGAAGGTGTCAGGTGGCCAGCGTCATCTGGGAGGAGCTTCACTACCTGAGTCGTTGAATGCGGATGGGAACATCATTCAGCACTTGTCAAGAAACACCAAAAATTCGAGTCTCAACTCTACACTATAATTACTATATATTATGATATATTCTGATCAAATGGTTGTTCTTCTGTGATCAATGTTTTTGCTTTTTTCGCTCCAGTGGCCTGCTGTTTAAAAACAAGAACCAAAACCAACGAGGACACATCAAGAATCATGCCCCAATGTACTACTTGCAACAAGACAGGTGTGGCAGCACCCTCAAAGAGGTCTGATGGAATGCACATCCGCGCTGCTGCACCCTTGTTCTTCGCATGCCCCAGGTAGTTGGGTGCAGAGAAGACGGTGATGCAGTCTGAGTGGGTCCACTCGTAGCCCTGCACTTTCACCTGCAGTCTGAGTGGGTCGCTTCACATCAGGCAATAGGCTAGGCTAGGCCAGACCTGACGAAACACCAAGTAAGCTTCATTAATCTGTGAAACCTAATCTGTTCGATTCTGTGGTAGAGGCGTCTAACATCTCCTGGAGAATGATGAGAACAAATAAATATCACAAAAGGACAATTGAATTGTGTCCGCGGCTCAATTGCTTTGGAACCTATGCCAATGCCCTCCCCCAAAAAGCGCACCACACCCAACCCCAACACACCCTTGGAGCGGCCATCCACCGCCGACCCTGACCTCGTGGGAGCGTATCATGAGTCTCAAGTTGTTCTTCCGCAGAAAGGCGCTGGTCACGTCGGGGCCGAAAATGTAGCAACCCTTCCTGCATGGGAACTGTGGCTACTAGGAACAAGTGCATCGCTTCTAGTAACAAGTGCCTTACTAG